TGCTTTGTACCCCCTATGTCTTCTTTGTCTATAGCTTTGTCTATCAATTTCAATAATCGGCCCGGTGGAGTGCCACGCAACTCCATCTTCCTCGTTTACCTGTCCACGGAGGAACCCTGCAGAGCTTAGAGACTGAACCAATGGCTACCTCACACGGTAGAACGAGCAAGAAGAAGGGGTCGGTCAAAAAACTTTTGGCTAAAGTTCCGAATTTTGACGTTTATTCCGTCACCGATTCAATTTCAAGGGGTGCTTTGGAAAGAAAATTTCACGATGAAACCAATGGAACCACTCTTAAACGCCTTTGTTATTCATATTTTCGAAAATACGTAGAAGCTTTCAAAGTCTCCAGATTTTGTCCGACTTCTCCTATTGACTCGATTTAGAGTGCGTCATTCGGACTTCATTTTGCGATTCAGAACTACAATTGATGTATCGCCTGAAGTGTTAGGGCTCAGCATTAAGTTGTTTTTTCCGTGAAGTCCATTAGATAGGATGCGGATCAACCTGTATCTTGACGCAATATGTTTGAAAAAACAGTTTTTTGACTGACGGATTACTTAAAAATGCCAATTTCTCTGACTTTGAACGTCACGAGAAGCAAAATTGCGGCTATCACTACCATCAAACGTGTCACAGTCCATTGAAATGGATTCCATTTGTAGTTTTTCGAGCTGAGGTAGACACTCTGCAAAGATTGAATTCGCCCGTTAAAAAATTCGATGAAAATGGAAATTTCTATTTTTGGAGAGTGAAAGGAAACTTGGAAAATCCGGTGAGTAGTCCCAACCGTGAATAGTCAAGGAAAAGTAAAGAGATCTCACTATGACACCCTCACTTTTTTCGTTGCTGTCAAACCTTTTAAACGACTCAATCGCACTTAGGCACTCTATCGGAAGAGCTAGGATACTGCGCTGGATGTACCTCATGAAAATAATTTTCATGGTCGAAAACCTTGAAACGTGAGGGAAAAGTATGTTTCAAAATTCAAGGCAACTTGTTATTCTGTCAATACTCGAATGAAAAAAGAGGAGGAAGTCATAGATATTCGCCTAGCATTCCCTGTCTATTTGCCTGGTCACTTGTGTGTTCAGTTACTTTAAAATGAATGGTCATTTCAGTTTATAATGTGGTGAATCTGATAAATGTTATCGATTACGATTGAAAGAATGTACCAGAATGTGTGTAGGAATTCCATTCACGCTGATTTTGTTTACGTACTGCCCGATTGACGTTTGATTAATTTATTCGCCCTATTTGAATGCACTTTGCGTTTTGCCTGCCTCGTCAGTCGAGCTCTAAGAACTTATTTTTAGACGCTGGTTAACGTTGCCGAATGCCTCCCTCTCCTAATTTACTGAAAAACGTAAAAAAATAGAATAAAAAAATGTAAGTTAAACGTCTAGCTTTCTGATTTCTCATCCTTGAGGGGTTTTTTTATGTCCTATATAGTTACATCGCTGTGGGCAGGGAAGAGGTGTATTTTTCGCAAAGCCTCCAACCCCCCCCCCCCCACCAAACAATAAAAGTACCATTTTTGGTGAAATTTAAACACTTTTTTCCAAACATTTTCGGAAAATCTACTGTGTAACGTTTTCAATAAGACCGCACTGCCCCCTGCAACGGCACAACTTCAATATAATGAGCCTTCGGTCGTTACAAAATTGCTTACAACATGCATTTCCCAATAAATATTTTTCTTCTAATAATATTCCAGAGAATATCATTTGCCATTTCATCTAGATTACTACGAAGCTCGGAAAAAATCTATTCAGAACTCCCCCGAAAATAATTAATTTATTGAAGGAAATTTGGCCTAATTCGAGTGCTATGCGGCCTTTTTCCTTCACACGTTAGCGCTGTCCAAGAGCTGCAAACAGGGTATTCTACCGCGGCTAATTTGGTGCCACTGATTTGAATTGACGTATTTATACCGAGCAGCCGACCGAAGTCAGGATTCTCAGAAAATCGGATTTCTCAGGAGTTGTTTTTAAAAGTTCTTAATCCGGGCGGGCTTAGCGACGTGTCGTTATGAAATCGAGATCGATTAAATCGTATTTACCTGGAAGCCGCTTATTTTAAACCCCTCTCCACTCGCCAATCCGCATCATTTAATATTAGCACTGATCGACTGTGTCTTTACCATTGTAACACTGATATTGCATGCAGTGGCGTGGCGTGCTTTGCAGTATACAGATTGATCTGCCTTCTAAACCTACGGAAAAGGATCGATAAGGTGTTCACAACGAACACATTAGTATTCGATTCTTAACCTTCGCTTCGCATGGGGAAAATTCGATAATCGATCATTCCTGCCTCGCCACTGAGTGCATTCCTTGCGTCAGATAAGGCGTATTTCTCCGAGGTCCAAGCTGAGTTTGGGGTTGGGTTTTATTGTTACATTGGAAACATACAGCAGCGATACAACAAATGGACTGTATTTTGCGATTCGGAACTACAGATTCTGGCTCATCGTTCATAAATTACGCACTAGGAAAAAAAAAAAAAAAAAAAAAAAAAAAAAACAGACTCTTGAAAACATTGACAAGAAAATATACTCTTGATTCAATCGGATTTTTGCTTGAATCAAAACGAAATCCGCTCAAATTAAGAGGCTTGGTTCTTGATTTAAGCTAGATTCTGATTGAATCAAGGGTATTTTTTCTTGTCAATGTCTTCAAGAGTCTGGACTCTAGATCCAATGTGTTTTTTTCCAGTGTACCTTGGGATACTTTTTTTTACAGAATTCTTTCGCAAATACTGTCAAGAACTTAACCTGAAAATTTGAGATGCATGGGTAAAATAGTTTTATTTTATAAATTGTTACGTTCCACAAAACCGCGGGAAAATCGTGATGGATTTACGGCGTTCTTGCTTAGCACGGCAGATCTCTGTATCGACTCTTACCGTGAGCCGGATATTGGATTGCATTTCCGTCGCTTCCCCGCGGATTTCGAGCGTCTCGCTGGATGGCGGCCGGCGCGGCGCTCCCCAGGCGCGCTCCGGTCTGGGCTCTGAGGCCGCCGCGACGCTGCTATTTTTATCCTCGGCGTTACAACAGCGCGGTAGGTGCTCTCGATTTTGGAGTTCCGCGAAGGCGAAGGCCGGCACGCAACTCGCTTTCAGGAACAACGTGGACGTCCACTGTCACCAACCGGGATGCCAATTCGCCGGAATAAGCCCTACCAGGTGGCGGAAATTTCGGGAATTGGAAATAAAACAACTTCGCGAAAAATACGTTTGATTCCCGATTATCAGGATAAATGGGAAACTTAAATGGATGGGGACCAAAAATCGCGAAAAATGACTGATCTCCTTGGTTTTCAACGTTGAATTGGACCGCGTTAGGCAGAAAGGAACCAAGGCACATCAGCTATTGCCAACGTCAACTGGGCAGTTTAATTTTTTACATGCAAACGGTTGTGCGGATTTTTGTACAAATTGCAGTGAATTTTCTGAAAAGTGCGAAATAAGCTCCTTGAAATTTTTAAAGGAGTCCACACAAACGCTCTCTTGTAAAAAAATTAAATTGCCCAGTTAAATTTGGTAACAGCTGATGTGGATTGGTTCCTTTCTGCTGAACGCGGTCGAATTCATGCAAGGGTGCAAAACTACCGCGACAAACGCCAAAGGTGGGTCCAGACACCTAGAAGGGGGGNGGGGGGCAAAATTGCCCAGTTAAATTTGGAAACAGCTGACGTGGCTTTGTTCCTTTCTGCTGAACGCGGTCAAATTCATGCAAGGGTGCAAAACTACGGCGACAAACGCCATAGGCGGATCCAGACACCTAGAAGGGGGGCATACGGGGGGTCCGAGAGCCTCCCCCAGAAAATTTTTGAATCTTTGATGCATCTACTATGTAGTTCGAGTCAATTTCGTCATGAACGATTGCCAAATGTGAGCGCTGCAGTCTGACCGTTTAACCGCGAGACACCCTACGTAATTTCAACTCATTGGAAAAGAAAACACATTGGATCTAGAGTCCAGACTCTTGAAAACATTGACAAGAAAAAATACTCTCGTATTAATCGGATTTTTGCTTGAATCAAAACGAAATCCGCTTAAATTAAGAGGCTGGGTTCTTGATTTAAGCTAGATTCTGATTGAATCGAGAGTACTTTTTCTTGTCAATGTTTTCAAGAGTCTGGACTGTAGATCCAATGTGCTCTTTTTTCCAGTGCTCTGCGGGTCGATTGTTGAAACGTTATAGAATGATCCTCGTCGATGAATCCTCATCTTAGTAATGCTTTTTATCGATCAAGGTCATTCGATATGGATTCAATAAGCAAACCGCTGAGCTGGTCCGGCGAGGCTTTAAGCTTTTCGACATGACCGAAAAAGTGGCACGGCAGCCGGCAGCTGCTCGCGAGAATGCCAGAATGCGTCACAAAGACGAGGGTTCCTCGAACCATCGGTCATTTCCAGAACGCCCAGGCCGAGTTCAGGGCCCAGGGGTTAGGCGTGATTCGCTTGACGACACACAGACACACACGTGTGCATTTATGGATTTTATGACTTTTTGCTCACCTCCTTCTTTCGTGGAAGAATTTACGGCTTTCACTACGACCAGAAGAGGAGGGAAGCGTCAGTGTCGAATGATCGATTATCGATATTTTCCCATTTGAAGCTACAGTAAAGAATCGATTATTCAGGTGTTTTTTTGCGAACGCCCCGCTTATCGATTCTTTGCCATAGACTCAAATCGCAGATCAATCGGTATATCGCAAAGCACGCACGTCACTTAAATTTTAATTTTTTTTTTTGTGAGTGTGTGTCGCACTAGGTGGTTTTAAAATTTCCAAGGAAACTCCTAGATCCGTAGAAACATTATGGACGTAAAATGTTTGACAAATTGGAGGAGAAATTGGAGGAAAAATTGAAATGGATTACATTGAAAATCCCTATAGACTGGCTATAATATTATGAAATCAATAAAAGATCTAATTGCATGCTGTATGCAAAAATTCAAATCTTTATAGGAATAGGTATAAGTGACATACCTTTGACGATCGACGAGTTGGTAGGACTCAGAATCCTGGAAAAGAAAAAATACACATGTTGTTGGTAATCGTTACGGTAGCAATATTTTCAAGATTTTTAAATATTGTCGGAAACCTTGATTTACATATACAATTATTTCAGAATAAACAAATGTAATTAGACACATGCAGAAAGAACGCCGAATGAACAATCGAAAGTTGCCAAATTTCTCCGGATAAAACATGTAATATCGTGGAAAGTTGCACATGTTTTTCATTGACATTTTCAGATAATTGGGATTTGCTGACAGAATGGTCCAAAAAATTTGACAGAAAATATTCACAATTTTTTCAGTACATTCGGATTTCATTAAAGGCAGTATGGCAATGTTTAAAGGCCGATGCGATGACCAAAGCGGACAATTTGAAAATGACTCACGTTAGAATTTGCAAAAGTTTCAACTTCATTAAGATTTTTTTCTTAAAAAGGTGAGAGAGCTTGCATCTTCGAGTTCAAAAGACCCATGAAAATTTTACATTGGAATCTCAAAAGCAGAAAACAGTCTGCGCCGACGAGTCACCGCGAGACAAATTGCGACAGGAACAGAGAAGAGGACATTTTAGAACTTTTATCCCCATCTCCGTTTGATCATTTTTATTTTTCCCACTTTAACCTTAGCGATTCCCTTTAAACTAGAGTGGTTTTTTAAGAAAAACTCTCGGCAGCTCGCAAGTAATAACGATATTTCCGAGCAATTGACGCTATTCGCTTTCTGGGGAAACGGCTTTCCACGCTCCGGATTCTCGGAAATGTCAGGGTTATAGGCTCTGAACGTTATTGCGCCGACAGTATTATTACTCGAATAAAAAGCCCTGTCAAAGGCGGGAAACTTCTGGTTAACACACGTCTGTTGTGATATGCTCAAAAAACACCTAGCATGATCCGACTTGACTAGAAAATATCTACGTAGGTACGACTAGGTTCTCGGATACCATGGAACGAAACTTTTTACAGAGTACTTTCCGAAGGAACATACATATTGCGCTCTTCACTCTGCCGTGCCAAGGTAGATTTACACAGGTATGGAAAAGTTGAAAATTTCCCATGAGCCTCAGTACGTGTTACATGACCTCGTGACGTAGGTTAAGGGGCCCGTTTTTTAATTAAATTACAATCAAATTAACATTCAAACGTTTGTGCGTTTAAACGCTAAAATTAATATCGCATAACCAAAATTGTGCAAAAAATCCCACAAATTTTGACAAACGATAAACCGAACATAATAAATCAAAATAATCAAACCATCCAAAATGGCTGACGTTAAGGGGCCGCTGGAGAGCCAATCAGAGGCCAGTTGTTTAGTTCTGTCCATACCTGTGTAAATCTACCTTGCTGCCGTGCTAAGGAAAAAACGCCGTATGAACATTCGAGAGTTATCAAATTTCCTCCGATTAAATTTTCTTTTAGGAGGGGAGATATGAATATTTTTCATCGAAATTTTTAGACAATTCAGATAAAATCATGGGCGAAATTCTCTCAAAAATTGGAAGAAAAATATTCTAAATTTTCCCCGATATTCATGATTTGGTAGAGGAAATTTGGTGACGTCTGAGGGTTCGTACGGCGTTTTTCCTCGGCACGGCAGTACTGATGTCAGACCCAGTGGCGTGGCGTGCTTTGCGATCTATCGATATTTCCCCCATTTGAATCTGTGGTAAATAATCGATTATTAAGGTGTTCGCAGTGAACACCCTGTTTATCGATACTTTTCCATAGGTTTAAATGACCGATCAATCGATATATCGCAAAGCACGCCACGCCACTGGTCAGACCTAGACCAAGGGCCAGGTAATGACCTGAGATTGATGCGAAGGGTCACGAACATGCATGACATTAGGATCCATGTTCACGGATGTACATTTCCACATCTGTCAATGTATGTACTTATTTTCAACTCGCACTTCTCCGGTTTTTTTATTTTCGATTTCTGCTGAGTGCTGACATGAAGGTCAGGCATTTTAACGTCATTCCGATTGACACTTGGTGCGATGTAAAGAACAGGAAGAGGACAGTTATTTTGCGGAGAAACCCCGAGTATCGGGGTAATAATGTTTCGTATATGATGTAGAGACACGAGGTGGAGGGAGGTTCAATTTTGTCAACGCGATAGCTCAAGTAAATCATATTGGAGGATTTTTATCTTTTTTCTCACCAAATTCGAAACATTCATGATTGTACGTACCAGTACACGACTTACTTTTGGCTTCCCGGTGGAAAGGAAGAGGGAGTTAAGCGGTCAACCCAATAGACTTCTCTAAAAAATAGGAATTGTGCATCGGCCATGAACCGTCAGCCAATGAACAGCAAGGCGCGGATAATGCCTTTACGCCATACATGACCCAACTTTGCAACGCCCCCCACTTATTAGACTTGAGGTGGCTATCTGTGACGTAGAGAGGTAAATTTCTCCGCACGCCATTGCCTTCTAAAATTCCGCAACGACCGTGCGGTGCACATATTTCCGCACATATCGTTCAAATAGAATACCATCACCCCCTCCCCCTCCCTCCGAGAAATGGCAAATTGCCACACCTCTGTTTTCGCGCTGAATTAATTGAAAGCTTGGTTGTCAGGAAACTTGCGGCGGTCGTAAAATCCCTCCGTTTCTTGCAACGCGAAGCGCCGATGGAAATATATTGTTCCGAGGTTCCGAGAAAAGATGCATCTGAATGTTGATACGTTGGATCAGAATCGAAAGTGAACCTGTCTATTTATTTCAACACCGATGCGGTGCCGCCAGATTGGTCGAATGGAGGCCATTCTTAAATTACGTCACGCCGAAATTCTGGATTTTCGACGGACCTCCCTCTCTAACCGTCGTGGAGACTCTGAGCCTACCCCGTCCCACGGAAAAGTACACACAAAGCTTGGGTGCACACTCCGCGGTTTTATCCTGTGATGTGAAACATGGGCGTTTTTTTTACAAATAATTTTATAGAAAATAATTGTGAAAATACTCGAAAAATCGGCGCTCTGTATCCCTATTTCGCCGGAGTCACACCAAAATGGACCCCTCCCTCTTCTGCGACATGATTTATAAGGGTTGCGATTTAGGTAAGATCTCAATTTTCCCTGAGAAATTCCCCGACTAATTACATAAAAGTTCTGTGACATTTCCCACCCCCCCCTCCCAAGAGATTCTGACGACGTATGTTGAAATTCCCTGATTTATACTTGCTTGAAAACTGTGTGGCAAATTGTTTCAAGGGAACCAAACTTGCGAGGCGCGGTGTTTCAGGGTTTTAGGGGAACTTAACAGCTGAGCGCGCTACTTTTAGGGAGCCTAACAGTCAAGTGCGCTGGCTATTGGAGGAACAAAACATTCAAGCGCGCTGATTTTGGAGGAACGAAACATTCGAGCGCATTGTTTTCGGAGGAACAAAATTCAAGGGCTCTCTTTTTGGGGGAATAAAACATTCAAGTGCGCTGTTTTGGGGAACAAAACTGTCGACCGCGTTACGTCATTGTTGGGCAAAATCTGCAAAAGCTCAAAATGGGGGGAACCTCCATATATTTTGGAGGAACCCGAGGAAGTTTCCGGACCCCTCATTTCAAAATCGAGCACTGGAAAAAAAAAACACACATTGGATCTAGAGTCCAGACTCTTGAAAACATTGACAAGAAAAAGGACTCTTGATTCAATCAGATTTGGACGGAGTTAAACAGAAAGGAACCAAGCCACATCGGGATCGAACCGAGAAAAAGAGGTTTAAAGTTTAGCTCCTGCATAAGACTCAACGTAAACGATAAACTTCAAGTTCAATTTCTGCAAAATTTGCTCCAACAAAAACTTCGAATTTTCGGCGATAGATAGTGGAGCAGTGGTTGAGTTCAAAACCACTCATTACTCAATTTTTTCCAAAATGTGGGTTGATTCCTTTCTGCTTAACTCAGTCCATTTAAGCTTAAATCAAAAGGAAATCCGCTCAAATTAAGAGGCTTGGTTCTTGATTTAAGCTTAAATCCGATTGAATCAAGAGTATTTTTTCTTGTCGATGTTTATAAGAGTCTGGACTCTGGATCCAATGTGTTTTTTTTTTTCCGGTGAGCCCCTGGATTCGTCTCAGACTTGGCAGCAGGAGCCCCTCCGAATTGAGCGCGACGCTAGAGTGAGCCAGTGGCGTGGCGTGAATTGCGATATATCGATTGTTATGCCATTTAAACCTATGAAAAAAGATCGATTATCAGGGTGTTCGCAGCGAACACCTTAATAATCGATTCTTTACCATAGGTTTAAATGGCATAACAATCGATATATCGCAATTCAAGCCACGCCACTGAGCCCACGGCGTCATCCGTCACTCGGCGTCGCGGGTACCAGGAATCCGGCGTGAGTCCGGCGAGTTTGTCGAAAAGTCATTACTTGGGGGCTTTGTCAGATTCGTCGTCGGATCCGTTCCTCGAACGCGCGCCGCGCCGGCCGGGATCCCGCCATGAAAAGTGAAGTCACCTCACACCAGCCTCTGGACGGACGTCTGCGTCTGCGCCGCGGCGCTCCCAGGCGCCACCCGGCGCCGCGACGTCTCCGCCGGCGCCGGCGAGTCTCCCATCGGGTCTGGCCCTCGCCGCGTCAACGTCCATGATGTCATGCCGTGCAGTGGATGACTAAAGCGCTCTCGTGAAACAAGGACAGAGCCGGTCTTTGCATCTACATATCGATGGTGAAACTACCAAACCACGTATCTCGTTTGCGGTGTCTAAAAATCTCCGCTCTCATTTTATTTTTCTGGAGGAGAACAATTCAATATCATTCCTTGAAGTTTTTACAGAATTTTCTTCGCACTGAGAAGAAAAATCACGGAAGTTTTCAAGAATTGACGTTGAGTACTTTCCCATTTAAAAATTAAAGTACGGCAGGAAGTCTGCGACGTCGCAAACCGAGATACGTGGTTTGGTAGTTTCACCGTCGATATACACTAGGGAAGCACCGACGAGGTTATTGGAGAGGAGATGTATACTGCCGTAGAGTACCTTCATAGACAGAGTATGGCCATT